TTTCCTCATACTTGTCATATGTGTCCTAGTCCTCAATACTCCCGTTCTAGCCTCGAATAACAACGCGCCCCACCGCAAATTATCATACCAATAGTCCTACCGTAGTTTCTGTTTTTGTTTTTCTTTGCATGGTTAAAGCTGATTTTCCATACATTCTTCCCTCCCACATCTTTCTCTCGGCTTCATTGATAATAATATTAAAATATATTGTTTATTTTATGCGCCCGAAAACAACCATGCGCGTCTTTAGATAGGCGCACAAAAAAAATGATAATAAGAAGAAACACAACACATGCACAGCATCAAATGTACAAATTAACATGACTACAAAAAGTGGGCACACTTCACACGAAATGTAGTACAGTTTCAGCTTTCAACTAGACTTTTCAAGTCCCGGATAAAAACATAGGGATCTGTGAAATCGTCCAAACTGGATGGTGCGATTCTATTAAATGAAGTTTGCATAAGGGGCGGTGGTGACAGTTCAGACATGGATCGAACCTAAAAGAGAGTAAAATTTCTGGTAACGCGACAAGGAACATGAAATCAACAATATTCAGAGGTAGGTTAGCATAAATCCAACCATTTACCACCGTGCCTTCCAGTGTCACATCCGTTTCACTTCTTTTTTCACAGAGGTAGTCTGCTCTGCACCAGCACTTGACTGTCGGTATTTAAATTTTAGTTTTCTGGTTCGGTTTGTACATTAAGTGTTCAGACTTTTCAAGCATAGATGCTTGTATACCCCTCTCGCCCACCGTGTACCTTCAATTGTGCCTATCCTTTGTTCAAATTTCAGCTTTCTTATCGCTTTTCTAGCCTCGAAAAATGCCCAGCCCATGTCTCCCTGTACTCCTTCGTTCGGTGTATTCCCATGTGCCCCCGATGCCAGCCTACCCATGCTCCTCTGCCGGGTCTCTAAGCTCAACTGGACCTCACATTCCGTGAATAATACCGCATTGCTAAAAGGCAACCCCGGCACAATGACTATTTTTCATATTCCCCTAACAACTTTATATCTAGCGTAATTCTATATCGCTCTGTGCTTCATAACTGCTGCATTCCATCTTTCTTTAGCATATTTTCTTCCTGTTCGTGTAAGTATTGTTTCTCTCATTCAACCATACTCCTAGCTATTTATACTTCTTTACATACTCCATTAAAACATCTTGAATTTTCAGCGGATCCCCTTCTCATCGTTATAAACTATTATACCCGACTTGTCACTACTGAATTTCAGGCCCAGAGAGTCCCCTTCTCTCCAAAGATCTAAATCAGCTCCTGTAACGTATTCCGGCTATCTGCAAACAGTACAATGTCGTCTGCGTCGAACATTTTTGGTAAAACTTGGTTTACTTTTTTCCTTCTCTTCGTATATGACACATCAAAACCTAAATCGCACTCTTCTAATTTCTTTTTCATTCTAATCAGGTATATCATAAAAAGTAGAAGTGACAGGGGATAACCCTACCTGAGTCTTCTTTTTATTTCTGCCGATTCTGTTATCTCTGCTTCCCACGTTAAGATAACCTTATTATATGGGTTTGTCTGTAGCAAAAGCCTAATCAAATGTGCATCCAAATCACACTCTCTCAACTCTACACAGAGTTTTCCCTGACTCACATTGTCGTACGCTCCTTTAATGTTCAGAAATGCTATTCATAACGGTTTTTTTACTCCGGTGGGAGTGGAGAGTTAAAGGTTGCCAGATGTGTTCGATCTCAAGCCGCTTGACGGCTGGTCAAAGTCGCCCAAATGTAGCCAAAAGAAAACTTTTCGTATAGCCCCAGAACAGCTATCGTCTTGTGCTCCTGGGCTCAAGGTTAAGGTGTTGCTTTTTTACGTGTCTGTGTTTAAAAACAGCAAATAAAACAAGTTTATAGCGACACCTGTAAACGTTTCAGACAAAGATCCTAGTAAAAATAATAGGCGAAACATCGCAAAATGTGCACGCATTTCCACAAAAAAAAATGTTACATATAAATTCACCGAACTACTTGTTCGCACAGTCAACAAATACGTATAAGCAGCAATTTGCAAGCCATACTATAATGCAGGCCCTTTTACCGAGTCACGTATTTCAAAAATAATTATTGCGATTCACTTATTCGAAACTTCGCCGTCGAAGAGGACTAAACATTATAAGGAAAGTTAGACGTTCTTGGAGCCCTCGCTTCTCTCCACGAGGACAATGTTTACAAAGATTATGTTTTCTGATTTCTGAGACATCACGTTTTCGTAATTAATTTTAATTAACGACACATGATGGAACACACGCTTTACAGCGGTATTCAAAGCTTCCTATGTTTCGGTAAGTAGGTCACTCTTCTCAGAATGTTGTTCGTTCGTCCGTCTGTACATATTCCATGGCAGAGCATGTCGGGCACAACGGGTTTATTCACCATAAAAACATAAGCAGAAGAATCTACACAAACACTTACTCTTCCTTAAACCAATATGTATGTCCAAATAGGAATCGAACCCGTAACATCAAGGTGCGCAGCTCGATGCCCGACAACTGCTCCAGACGAACCAGGTTTCAGTGCACTGGGTAATATGTCTTCTGCGCTTACCATATGTCGATACTCTCCGTAGTGTACAGTGATGTTGTAGAGGAGGGTGATGGGAATCCATGGAAAACTTGCTCTTCAGTCCCTAAAGTGACTCTTGGATATCTTCTAAAGAAATCTAAATTATCAGCTCTTGACAGAAATTATTAAATGCATTATAGGACTTAGAAAATAAATGTTACTCTAAATTTTATGGTCGTAAGAGCCACGGCCCATTTTGCTGACGGAAAGAAATAACTCACCGAACTCTGTCAGCCCCAGGACAAAAACTCATGAAAAACAAACACATCTTAGTGTTGCTTTTTGGTGATGTCTGTAACGAAACTCGTTTGCCAGGAAAAACCTCACGTAAGGCTTAATGATTCATTGTTCAAAATTGGAGAGTCGAGATTTCCACATTTCTACGTTTAATAAATTCCTATGGAAGCGTCACCACCGTTTTGCCAGGAAAGGGCGCAAGCAGAACACGGCACAGATGTCTGCAAATTGCTATAATGTCATCTCTTTAGTCCCAAACCTAAAAGCGTGAGAGAAAAGACGTGTAAAAGGAAGGGGAATTAACCTTAGGAAAGACATTTGCGAAGAACTCTCACTTAAAAAAAAAATTACATGGCAGCACCACATATCCGCCCGGCAAAGGACTTCAACACGGAGTAACAACGCGTCCGCTTGCTTACACGATGCGCACTTTTTTTAAAGCGCACGTCGGCAGCAGTCTTGAGACAACAGAAAATCTTTTATGTGCTATCGGCTGTTGTGCAGCATGTAAATGAAGGGCTATACCTTGTCGCTGTCGTGAACCTTTGTCAGGCGCTGGCGCCTGCTCAGGTGTACCTATTCGAAACTCTATTTCAATCAGAATTTTCCAAATGTCAATAACGCCATTTGGTTATTCGGCAAATTCTAGCGGTAGATTATTTGTTAACAAGAAAACCGAAAAACAGATGAATGGAAATCAGACCTATCGACGGCGCGTCATTTGTGTGAATAGCCTTGAACTTCTAAATATTTGTGACGAACGCAGTGCTAACCATACACGCTATACCTATTTAGCTAGGTGGCGTTATCGGAGAGGGAAACATTTGTGGAGAGCCTGAAATTGATAATTTTGTAGTCAAAGTGTTCAAGAGACGGCGCGTTCACCAAGGGAAAATACAGTCGCTGCTTAATTAATTACATTGGATTTCATTATATTTTTAAGGGTCCTCGGTCCCCTTCCACTGGTATCAAATAAGCGTATATAAAATTATCATTCTTGCTCGCACACGGAGCAGTTACTCATTTCGAAGAGAAATCAAGATATCACTTTAAAAAAACTATTCCCTTGTGAGTTAGAAACAAAAACAACAATAAGTTGGAAAGACAAACCTCAATAATGGCCTATCTCTACAACAGATTGTGTTCCACAAAAATAAGGCGATCCGTACGCATTAGGATACATAATGTTTAGGGTAAAAAAATAACAGACTATTTTCAGTTTCCTAACCAAAACATCGTTTCAGTATGACTGCCTGGAGACGAAAATGTTGCTGTATAGCTTTGAGCGAGAAAATTAAAATAAGGCGTACAAATATCTACTTCGTACAAGAAAGAGGAAAAAGGCCCCTGACGCTATCATAGTGACATCATCAGCCTGCTTGCTTAAGGCCCTTCGCGTTTGCTAGATCCGATGTCTCTGCAATAATATAAACAAAAGAGCACAAAAACCACACAAATCGGATGCTCGATAACACAGACTAAAACAAATCCAGGCTTCCAAAGAGGCAAACCGTTTCAAAAGCGGCGTTTGTGATGCAAAGCTTAATTAGAAAAAAACTTTTTTTTTCCAATATTTGCCTGATTGTGGAGATCAGAGGAACTACGAAGATTAACTTGTAATGTGCAAAAGTTGTTTGCACTTATTCAAAAAGGATTCACGATTAAACTGAGTTATTGCATCATCTGTAACGTTCTATGTTTTTTTGTATTACCAACTGCTGCTGATTAGTGATGTCGAAAGATGTAAAACAATGGGGGCGTAACGATTCGCTGACAAATGAATGCAAGGTGGCATGTACAAGAGTAGAAATAAACCTTAGAGCACCTTTTCTGAGAAAACGCCACATGTCAACAGTGAGGGCACCTTTGTTGGGCATCATCGCATTTTCACTTCTTTATCGGAGTAATGGATATTTTCTTATTCACCACAGATGGGGCAACGAATGCTCCAACCTCCTCGCAGCGGAGCGCGCCTGACCTTGGCAGCGCGTGCTCTGTAAACGACCTGCCTCAAGAAACTGTCGAAAACCAACCAGGTACTTGAAAAGTAAGCCGCGAAAACCAGCAGAAATGTTTCCTGTCATGTTACCCCGACCAGTAAGAGCTCACTTGCGCAGACTTGGAGACGGCCTGCGCACGGCATTGTAGCAAGAAAGGAAGTCGAGATACGCGTCAGGGTCCAGGGCCACGAACTGAGACGTTGTGCTGTTCAACACAGCCGAGCAGGTCTCTGGGCACGTCGCTCAGGTAGCGTCCCTTGAGGGGCTCGGGGGTGGCACAGCGGCTCGATGAGGCCACTTCGGGAAACCGAGACAGGAAGGCAAGTGCGCAGTCGCAGTGCAGAGGGTTTCCTGCAGAACCGGGCATTAAGCTGAGAGTCAGCTTGTGAAGAATCACGAACAATGACCGAAGCATATGAGAACCTTTTGTCAGCCGTGTGGCCCAATATAATAGGGACACTTCAGAATTATTAAAGAGCGGCAGTTTGATACTTTAGACCCATGTTATGGATAAAGGAACAGGACGCGGGATGGCCAGAAAAGCATGCTTTTCGTGCTAGCGCGAAAAGCATGCTTTTCGCGCTAGCTACTACAGAGAACGTGGGAGGGATTTCGATCACTTCTTGAGAAGATACAACAAGAAAAGGGGGAAATCGCATCAAGCCAATTGAAAGTTCATATGATCGGCAGCAATAATAAAAAAAATTGAACGAAATAATAAACTGCCTTTTTGAATAAAGGGGGTTCAAAATATCAATTAATTTCATTTTCGACGATATTTCAAGTTTTATATAAAAAATTCAGTGTAAATAAAATAAACAAAACTTATGCCCGTCGATAGGCCATGAATAGGGCTACACCCGCATATTATTTATTAAGTGACAAATATAATAACTCATGAGTTACAAGGCTCTGAAGATGTCACAGGATTGTCAAAGAGACGATGTTTGGCATTTTTTACCTCAATAAACAAAACTACAAAAATATTTTCCTTTGAACTAAAAAATATTCCAAATAACATACAAGAACACAAAACATTACTGTGAGTTTTGTGTGCTTCCCGTATTCATACTAGCGTAAAGAACTGGGTAGAAAAATCACGGGTAAAAAACAGATTTTCACCCTGCTCCACTTAATAATTTTTTGTGAAGCGAAATATTTTTTAAAAAAATTTCGGAAAGCGGTTTTGTTCTTTCCATAAATGGGGCAATTACATATCTTTTTCAAAAAAAAAATCAAAAGACCCACCCCGACAGGCGTGTTCGATTTCAATTGAAACTACCCAAATAAATAGTTAGCATGTAAAGAAACGCACGACAAGTCTGATTGGTGATTTGCAGTTGTTTTGCGCGATTTGTAATGAAGTAACTTCTTACTTCCTTCACGTCCGCGCTCGTAATAAATAAATAACACAAATTTGTACACCGTGGCGTAACGATTGGAAAGTAACGTTTTATAAAATCAAATAGCCATGTAAGAAATGTGCACGTTACCGACTTCACAGCGTCCAATTAGCGCACACAGAGCTCAAAAAATTAGCACACACACAAAAGAGTATACACACTGCGCTGAACGCACAACTATGTTTTGTTTTTCTTAATTTGTTTTCTTCTACGTTTATTAAACCCATACACAAAATTGTCCACTATATCCCTCTGGCCAGGTATGCTAACCCTTTCTTTTCCGACGAGGTGAGGGATGGAGGAGTTACTAACACACTAGTCGTCAAGCCTAACGATATGTAAAGTCGGTAACATGTTCAACCAATTCGCCCAAGCTGCAGTTTTGACAAAACATTTTCACCGCACAAAAAAACTCATTGTTGAGAATGTGTATGTATAAGTTTCACCTCAGAACTTCTCCAGTGAGAGAAAACATGTATGTGGTTTTAATTCAAACAGATTAAAAAAAGTGTGACAGTTACATGAATTCCGTCTACATTGTGTATTTATCAGGCTGGGCCCGGCGGACAAAAATTGGGGGAACAACCGCTACAATAAGTTGGTTAATTAATTGCATTATGGTTATTAGGTTGGCAATTAAAATTTTAAAGATTATGTCGTGATCGCACTTCTAGAACAGTCATTATTAGACGCTACACCATTTACAGAATTGGAAAAAAGTCATAGCCTTGGAGATGAAATATATATCCATTCATGGCATTTTGCATATCTTTAGTATATGGGAGGTGCCGTTTTAGTTCCAGAAATACGTTCATTTTGCTTTTCTTTTTTACATAAAGGGTTGCTCATTACGACCAGAAATCAACTCCATAGTACCTCGTCGATATCTTCTTTCTCACACATCTACCGCATGATGCAAGCTGTTTAAAAGGATATGTTCTTCGACGCGTAAAACAAATGTGCATTCCCGCAGCTGTCAAAACGTTTTTCTTCGACTCAGTTTACTGACACCTTGACAGTAAAGACGTCGCTCAGTGAGAGGTGCATCAAACAATTTCTATGTAATGAACCAGAAACCCTTGAGCACGCTTTTATTCATTATTATGATTCGCCTTTATTAGGCGGTTTACAGAGGCCTTATGATGTGTTGTTATTACGATGTATCTACCGTGTTCGACTGGCAACATTAAGCTAATAACAAAATCATCTTCAGATTGTTAAGCAATTTTTAATGGGTGGGCCGCGCGCCCTTTCTTCAGAGGAAGAAGAGCGGGAGCGGAAGGAGCGGCGAAGTGCGCCACAGCGCGAATGGTTCCGCAACCGCCGCGAAGCCGCTATCGCCTCAAGTTCCACTGCGTCGAGCGCTTCAGATTCGCTTGCGAAAGAAGAGCAGATCCCTCGCCCAGAAAGCCACCGCCGAGAACATAAACTACAGCTCCGCTGCCCTTCCTTCTTCACCAGAGTGGAAAGACTGAAAGTTTTTTGTTCTTCCTTCTTTATCACGATTATGATTATTAGTAATGGTAGTATTAGTTGTAGTAGTAGTAGTAGTAGTAGTAGTGATAGTAGTAGTTGTAGTAGTAGTAGTAGTAGTGGCAGTACTAGTAGTAATAGTAGTAGTAGTAGTAGTGGAAGTACTAGTAGTATATCACCATTCACGTGTTAAAGGGGTAGTGCAACTTCGAACGGGAGAGATAGGATCCATGATATTCGTAAATTATAATCGCTCACTTGTATTTTTCGCAGAGGGCTATATTTTTTGTTCCAACCGACGGATTCTGGCGAGTGCTTCAAAATCAGCCATCGAGGGGGCGTGATGTGTCTCGGTATATTTTCCCGTGATGTCACGCTCGCAACGTCAGGGGCGCAAAAACGGCCGAAGGTACCATAATTACAATCGTCGCCACTAGGTGGTACCAGCTGTATCGTCAACGCATTACAATCCCCCAGGTATGGTGCACCTAAAGCTAAAAGCTGTGCCAAGCGCCGCTCGCTCTGCGCGCCTCCATCGGACACGCCGCGCTTTGGAGCTGTTGCTGATGGGCAAGTGACGTGAGACATTCCAACGAAGCTCAGCCCCCTAACTACCAGATGATACCGGAAAATCGTTTTATTCGTTTTAAAATTGCTTTTCTGGCGTTTACGGACGAAAGGCTGGTGTTTGTGAGCCGCTGTCATACAGGAGGCCACATTTGTAGTTCGTGTTTCTTATACTGTTTATCTAGGCACCAGTGGCAAAAACGCGTCACTTTGGCCAGAAAAGCTGCTATTCCGCTGCGTAATCGCGAAGGGAAAAAAACGAATTATTTGCCCATCTGCAGCCGCGTGTGGCGGTTAAGAGAAGCTACATTGACACGTCTTTTGGTGACACGCGGAAGCGAACAAAACCTTTTCCCCTCCGCTGTTACACTCGCCCTCAGCCCTGCGGCGAACCATCGTTTGTGTCGATCGCTCGCCGCGACGTTCGACGATGCCCATCCTTGAGGAGGCCACAATCGCGGAGGAAGCGGCTGGGGTCTCTCAGCAGAGGACCCAAGGGGAAACACCAGGTGGTCCCCCAGAGTGTACATTACTCGAAAGACGACGCGAGACGCGCTTTGACCTTCGATTTGTTTCAATTTTCTTTTTTTTTTTCATATATAAAAATAAAAGCACAAAAAAAAACACTTTTTTTTTCTTTTTTGTTTTATAGGTGACACATATTGATTCCCGCAGTTAATTCGACAAAGTCTGATAATCCTTGAACCGCCCCCTCCCCTTTAAAGGATGTCAACTTTTTGTGTGAGTGTGTCGGTTTACGTTCGTGATTAATTTGTGGAGTTGGGCAGCACCCTTCAGTTTGGCCCCAAACAAGCATCCAAAATATGGTGCTGCCCCAAAAAAAACTCGTCTGAAATTAAGCTGGTCATTCTGTCTGAAAACTTTGCCCCTGCGTATGGGTGCTTGCATCAGGTTTTAAGCAGAATATGATTGGCATCGTCTTTCCGAGTTTGCTCACAGCTGACCGGAGCAGCTTCGCGACTGAACCTCAATAGTTACGATGTGCGCAATTAAAAAAAAAGAGTCGCGCCATGAACTTACCAGCCGCGTAGACGTAAGTTCTTTGGTTGCGCAGTGAAGACATGGTGACCTTGTCGATGGAAGTGAGCATGTTGTGGGCGACATTTATAAATCGCAGGGCTGGGCACTCTTCTCCAATATCCGCCGGCAGAACAGTCAAGGAATTTCTCCTAGAACGTAAAACATAACATTATTTATACACGTTACCTTACCTAATAAGAACTAATATTGTTCTAAAAGAACCGAGCTCTCTTTTATTGTAAATGCATGTATCATATGACGAAATAAATATATCTAGTACGCCCAATAATGTTATAATAACGAAAATCCTTTCAGGTACAATTTTCCGTATCTGTGAGGATCTCTATATCATGACAATAGTCAATTGCAGGTTTTGTAACTTTCTTTATTTGTGCTTATGTTAGACGGTGCCGGATTTCTTAAACGAAAAATAACACTGTTATGTCGACCTTTCTAGATATTTCGCACAAATGTCGCTACCATTTATTCACATTGCTCTGTGCAATGTACGCAGAGATATTTACCATAACATACGATAACGAGATTTAAAGTGTCGGTAATATTTTAAATATATCGATATAATTATAAAAGTTATAAAAACAGGACATTATTGTAAAATTTGTCAGTGCATACTAGAGTATTTTAAATTAGGTCAGAGAAAATTTTCTTTTGAGAAAACGATGACTTTCCCGATTTCCGCGGATCGCATGTTTGTCATTCTTCCATTGTGTTTTCCGCATGATACCTTGAGAACGTTTGAGATTGCCGCAAACGCATTTCGTGGCCCTAAGTCCGTCTGAGAGTTCGAATAAACCGTCGTTTCACAATTAGCTACGATTTTTAAAAATTCAGAGCTGTCCGCCCGACCACACAATAATAATAACAATATTAATAAGTATTATAATTATTATTATAAAAAATATAATAATATTAAAAAGTATTATATTTAGTACTATAAAAATAATAATAATATTGATAATAATACTAATATAATAAAACACGCACCGCAGTGTTCTTCCGCAGCAAAAAGACCGTCTGCTTTCATCGCCGTCACCATGGCAACGAACGCCAAATGACCTTTTCGGGCGGCGCGTGTATCATAACCCCCCCCCCCCCCCCCCCCTCCCTCCCTTGGGCCTGCGTTCACGCTTCGCGGCGACAGTCTGCGTCTGCTCATTACAAGACTATTACACTTTGGCTAGCAGACGGCGTTCGGGAAATCGGTGTTAGTTGCCATGGTGACGGCGATGAAAGCAGGCGGCTTTTGTGCTGCGGAAGAACACTAGAGCGCAGCAATACGAGGTGCGTGCTGAGGCCGTTCCAGCATGCTTTTCAATGAGCGCGACGCGAACAAAAAGAGCTCGAAATAAGGAAACGCAGAATTCTCTCCACGCCCCATTAATTTGAGAAGCCTTATACGGAAATCATGTTTTTTAGACCAAAGTTTGAAAATAGTTTCCTTTTTTATTATATTTTTTTTACCAACAACACGGGTCTAAAGTATCAATGTGCCGCTGTGACTGTACTGTGGATTAACACGGTACTGCTCAATTTTTCACACGAAGGAAGTTCCGCCTTGACATTTTACCAGACAAAATGTACCCCATAACTACATATAAGGTGAAATTTCGAGCTTTCTATGTGTGATAGTCGATGTTTTCCGGCACATCCAACATCGCTAGGGTTACGTGACACCGAACAATGCTTCTTTTCACCGTACGATGAAGCGCGGAAAACACTATAAGCCATAGGCCGAAGCCGTCGCGCAACCATCGGGACGGGGTGTAGCGACGTGCGGGGAGCAAGGGGGGCGCAGTCATTTGATACGTTCACAGCGCTGGATCGGCTGGGATGGCTCGTAGCATCAGCTGCGATCCAGGTACGGAGTAGAGTAGGCAGTTACGCTCGAAAATTCCTCCGGTGTTCGAACGATCTAATGGGCCTATCGGCGGTGTCCCTCCTGTGAACATCACTCTCTACCTACGCATTTAAATACACCACGCGCAAAACAATTCCCAGCTGGTCCTTTGATCGGAATATTCCCAAAATTGTAATTCCGCGACGAACGCTGCAATAAGCAGTACCGGAGGATTTCGCGGATAATAACCGGATCCTAGTCAATAGCAACCTGCATAAATATTGAGATGTTTCACTAGGCAAAATAAACCCTTCGCAAGCAATTACGCCTGCCCATCTTCCGGAAGATAAATGAGGAAATTGGCCACTAGTGATTTCGGGCATATCTTCATCGCACACCCTGACAGCCCCATCGTCAGCCGTCACCTGGTACGTACATTGATTGGCATAACTCAATCGTATTTGCCCACGACCTGTGCAAGTTAGACAACGAGGTAGGGGGGCTTAGTGCGATAGACTGACAGCTGAAAGTGACCCCCATCCGGCCGCCACCATGTTGCACGTTTTAGAGCGCAGCTCTTAGAGGCCCGTTCCCGGCTTGAGCGGCGTCGGCGTCGCCGTCGGCGTCGGCGTCGGCGTCGGCGTAACCAAGGTCATCCCAAGGTCACGTGACCCCTCCCAAGGTCATCTCAAGGTCACGTGACCCCACGTGACCACCTGAAGGTCACGTGACCTTGGGGGTCACGTGGGCTCATCTTGGGGTCACGTGACCCCTCCAGGTCACGTGACCCCTCCCAAGGTCATCTCAAGGTCACGTGACCCCAAGATTACCCCACGTGACCCTTTGAAGGTCACGTGACCCCCAATGTCACATGACCCCCTGAAGTCACGCGACCCCTCCCAAGGTCATCTCAAGGTCACATGACCCCAAGGTGACCCCCACGTGACCCCCAGGTCACGTGACCTCCTAAGGAGGAGGAGAAGGAGGAGGGGTCACGTGACCCCTCTAAGGTCACGTGACCCCCGAGGTCACGTGGTCTCTTCCCCAAGGTCACGTGACCCCCGAGGTCACGTGACCCCCTGAGGTCGCTTGGGGGTCACGTGACCTTGAGGTGACCCCCACGTGACACCCAAGGTCACGTGACCCCCAGGTCACGCCTCCCCGAGGTCACGTGACCCCCTCCCCGAAGTCACGTGACACCCCCCCCCCCCCCCCCCGAGGTCACGTGACCCCCGGAGCATATTAAAGAATGAGGGGAGGAGGAGGAGAAGGAGGGGGGGTCTACCCTCCCCTCAGTACCCTTCACTCCTCCTCCTCAAGAGCTGCGCTCCAATTCGGCGTTACAGGGATTTGTAAACGGCTTTCACTTTTTTTTACCCCTCGACACGTGACTTTATAGTTTTACGTCTAGATTTTAACAAAGTACTGCGCATAGATAATTGCGTATTCATCTTTAATAGCAGAAACGGCGAGATAATTGTTATGTATTGTTTAAGTCCAAAATGTGGCTTTAACGACAAAAACTCGAACAGCTTCACAATGGCTCCGCTAGATGCCGTCAGCCGCGATGCTGTATTTTGGGGTTTTATCGGAGCTAGACACTGATCTCTTGGGCTAACAGTATTGAAAAATAGTGTAATTTTTTTACAGCGATCACAATACAAATCTTGGCTCAGTTTTGCGTAAAAGCCTCAGGATTTGGTACGGTCACGTGCTTAGCGGTCGAAATTGTACAACCAGCCGGCAGCCAGGAGGGAGGGGGTCACTTTTGCCTGGTGATACCAGTTCATCGCTGTCAGCCCCTCTCCCTCGTTGAAGTTAGATGACACATGTTAATATCTGTGACAAGGCATTTCACCGCTTAGTGTTTTCCGTAGTACGAAAAATATGTATCCGCCAGTAACAAATTTTCAATTTAGATGACACAAGTTTGTAGCCAGATCGCAAAAAAAAAAAAAAAATCGCTAAATAAGGCTATAGTAAGTAGTTACTTGTGATTGCAGACAATCTATTTAGTTATAGGACCGTCTCGTGAGTTGTGGCAAAGCGTAGACAAAACCTACGTAGGTTCGATCTTATTCCGAAACTAAATTTCTGAAACCAAGGGACGCGAGTGTATAATGTACAGGATTTGATAGATTTTCGGCTACTCAATTTAAAGCCAGACTGGGCGAAAGCAGTGCTAGCATTTCTCGCATTAATAAAGCAAGTAGGCAATTCAAGAAAGAGGTTACTCAACCAGAAATCCATGGTCTTGAGTCGTCGCGCTGGTCTTGGAAACATCGTCCTGGCAATCGTCTTCAGGTTACTGTTAGTAACGATGACCGTTTCTAGGTTACTCAGCGTCGATAGCCAGAGACTATCCACGAAGTCGATGGAGCAGTCGCGAACCTGGATGGTTGTCACGCTCTTCGGCAGTTTGTTGAAGTCTGCACCAAGAGCCATACTGCCCATATCGTAGAATTCGAGTTCCTCGAGTACTAGTAAGCGTGCCAGCACTCCCCAATGCGTAGGCAGGGTACTGTTCCTTCGGTACACGAGCCTGCGCAGTGAGCCCTCCAGTCCTGGAAATCGGTGGACCTTTGCATCGGGAGTGGGAAGCGTGGTCGCTGTGACATTGTCTACTTCCAGGATGGACACGTCACCGCGAGCGAAGGAGCTTGGATGAAAGACGTCTAGACTGCTATCCTTGACCACTAGCCAAAGTCCAGGCGCATGCAGAGCGCTCTCAACACGTCTGTGGAAGTCGGCCGAGCTTTCGAGGCCGGAGCACTTGTAGTAGCTGTAGAGTGCGGGCTTCGAGCCATTCGAGAAAATAGTGGAGTCAAAAAAGCGACACGGGGGTGCCAAGGACGCCCAGTTGGTCATGGGCCATTGCAAGAGCAACACATGTAACAGCAGCGCATCTGGTGTGCCACGCACCATGCTGATATAGATGCCAATTGTGCCGAAGGTGTACTGCAGCGTCCACAGCGACCGGTGGCGATGCCAGTGCGAAACCGGTCGGTACCAAGGACGCTCCCTCGTCAGAGGTCTTCTCGTATCAAGGGGATTCGTGCGGCTGTCCTCGGTATTGCGTCTGCAGCCAGGTCATGCGGAACCGCTTATTGTTCTTCCGCTTGCGACCCTCATTTCCGGACTTTTTTCGTTAACGGGCATTTCTCCCAACGCAAAGTTCGCTTAGGCAATTCTTTAGATGTCTCGCGTAAACATTTTTTATTGCGTTGTATCTATACTGGGGGCTTAGAAACCCGTTTCTTCATTTTCATGGGGATATCTTTGGCGGTTGACCGCGCTATATGAGCAAAGATGTGAACATATTCTTCTTCGAGTTGAAAAAATGTCATGTATTGGGCGAAAAAAAAAACTACAATGGATAAAGGGAGACAATTTTAACGCACGTAAAATGTGGCAAATATATTTGATCCGGTAAAAAATACAATTTTGACTCTTTGCTCCTTTGAATTTATATAGTGTCAACTGTGGGTGTTTGAGGGATACAGCCAGTAGAATCCAAAGCAGTGGAATCTAGTTTTGACGTTCTAATCACGTGGTTTAAACAAGAAATCAGTGGTTAAGCCATAGTTGAACCATCGTATAATAGTGTGGTGACCGGCATAAAAACGAAGGAAAGAAAATATATGTCCATATATACCGTGAAAATACTTACATTTTTGAGGTCTGCAGTCTCCAGCCGCGGGGACTGTCACTGCACCAACTTTGCTTTAATCAGAACAATATCATTGCTTATTTTCACGTGCTGGTAGCCCAAAGGCTACCAGCACGTCCTTGTTTCGCAAAAAAGACCCACGTTCTTCCAACCAGATATATAGGAAAGCTCAAAAAATGAGGAACCACGGAAGTTCTCGCAACTCGTGTCCTTCCCACCTTAGCTAGAACATTCATTAATGGATGTTTTCAAAGCGTGTTTGGCATTAAAAGGATGCAGAAAAGGCAATTAAAATCTTACTTTTTGTAGGTCGTTTTTAATATTTTATTATTCATGTTTGATGTAACACAAACTATTTGCAAGCAAAGAGGGCCATCGCCACTGGACAACATAGTTTTTAATGCAATAAAAAAGCAAGCAATTGAACTCTAGCACAAGTTCCTAAGCCACTTTCTTCAAGGCTGCCTATCTTGTTATTTATTTATTTGCTCTGCTTAGAGTGCGCCACAAACAGCTCCCGGCCTTAAGAGTGTACACATTCCATAAAAATGAAAACGAAAAATCAACCAAACAAACAGTAATAATAAAAAAGAGTCTTCACCAGAAGAAAGTAAAATAAAAAGGAAGAGAAATGCATGAGTTTAAATATTAAAACAGAAGCTTAAAACAGACCGCAGACTCTGCGGTCTGTTTTAAGCTTCTGTTTTAAGAGAAGCATGCTTCTCTTAAAAATTGAAGGAAGAAAACAAATGCGAATTGCATTTATTTTGGCTAAAAATAATTTGCAAACGTGCCATGGGTGAGCCAAGAGTATCGTGGGCGCGAAACCAAATAAATATTTCTGGTACGCTTGTTTGATGCACAAAATGAAATCCGATTAAGAAGAGGCGATGCATCAATTATGGCACTCACCACCTTAAAGAAAAATACCATATATCTCCCGTCTTTCTTTTGCATAAAGAAACGACACCTAGCAAATTGGAGCAGGGTTTCATAGTCTAAATAAATGCGCCTCCCAATCCACCTATCGTATGCAATACGCACAAGACAGCGCTGCACCTTCTCCAAGGTAGAGTACTGCGTCACTCCGACAAAATTCCACACAAAAGAACATCAGTGATATCCCTACAAACCCACTAGGGGGGATGTACACTCCACCCGCCCTTGTTTTTCTGAAGGCACTCCCTTAATTCACAACGATTCCTCCATTACGAAGGCACCCCCCTAACCCCCCCCCCCCCTAACCCCTCCCCCCCACCCCCTCTAATTTTAATTCCTGGGGAAACCCCTGATGAACAGAACTCCAGCTTCCCTAAAACAAGAGCTCGATATAAATCATTCATGCACACACAAAACAAAAAATGAAATGGCGCGTAATTCTGGAGATAATGCCTAGTACTCGTCAGGAGTCATGGACATGTCGTCCGGTTTTCGCCCTCTATGTTCTTCTCCTCTAGCACCGTAGTCATGGACAGTTTCGGAAACGTGCACATTAAACAGAAGGCGTGGACTGAACAACACTCTTAGTTTTCGCATATACCCTACCTCACAAATGTCGAATTAAACAGATGATAAGAATAGTCAATGCAGCATGCGTTTCGAATAAAAGAAATAACCAATTTGTTACGGGGGTTATGTACAAGATTGTTCATCAAACACCACCGATTAACTCCATTAATGTCAGCTCGCAGCTATAGCAGTCTGCGATTAAGTATATTTCACTATAAATCTTAACATCGTCAGCAAATTGCAGCAACTTTAGGTGCTGTACAGTGTTTACTAAATCATTCTGAAAAACGTTCAATAGCAGTGGCCCAAGACTGTACCCCTGAGGCACTCGCTTGTTCAAAACATAAGGTGATGAAAATAATCCTGCGTGAAACTTTTATGACCTTCCTTCAAGGCAACTAGATATCCAGTCACAAAACGGCCTATAGTCAAGCTCAATGCAAAACGTCTGGAGATCAACAACTTATGATCAACAACATCAAAAGCCTTTGTGCATTACAAGTAGATAGCATGAACCTGCACTCGGGAACTGACCTTAGGTAATATATATTTGTAAAAAGATGCCAGTTTGTTTCAACTTACTTCATGATCACTCATGCATCTTTTTTTTTTTTCTTTTTACAGCGCAGTTCTTAAGCCCGGAACACAAGATGGACAAAAACGGGTGCCGCGCGGCAGTTCCCATGGCAACTTGCGCGCACGCTGTGACGTGGCGGCTTGGCATAGGTCCGAATCACAGCGTCCTGGGCTGTTGCTATGGGAATCAGCGCGCGGCGCCGGCTTTTGCCGTGTTTTCGCCGTGGCGTCACCGTCGCTGTAATCGGAGGAGAAGGGGAGGGTACGGAGGGGGAGGAGAGGGTACGAAGGAGGAGGGGAGGGTGCGGAGGAGGAGGAGGGGAGGGTACGGAGGAGGAGGAGGGGGAGGAGGGGAGGATATGGAGGAGGCGGTACGGTGGAGGCGCTCCTCCTCCTCCTCCATACCCTCCCCTCCTCCTCCTCCTTTTACCCTTCCCTCCCCTCCTCCGTACCCTCCTCTACTCCCAGAAACGTCACCGACAGCCACATTTGAACGTATATATGTATATATATTTCTTTCTCAAATTCTTTAGCATGGTATATCGCAAAATCAAAATACATCAAGAGCTGCGCTCTAATTTGGCATGACAGATTCGTAAATGTCTTTCATTTTTATTTAAATTTTAGTGTGTGTGTGTTTTTTTTTTTTTTTTTTGCTTAATTTCTATTGTTTTTAGGTCTGGAGGTATTCCATCTGATACTATCTGTAACAAACTTTTTTGTAACTAAAGTGCAGACCGCATGGCGCGTTTTTCTACACGCGAAAACGCGACCCGCTATGAACGCACGCGCGGAAGCTGGCGTGGGGGCACCCGCCTGCAGACAAAGCCAAGCACCGCCGGCCCCGCGTTATCAGCGTTGCCAGATAACAGAATTCTCAACACGCGATGTAAATATTGACGCAAGTACTACAAAATGAGAAGTAAATGAACAAATAAGTAAATAAAACGGGTTCGTGTGTCAAAAGAAACACCTTTTCAATTTTTATATGCGAAATAAAAATGCTTTTGAACACTTTGAAATGTGCTGAATACGAAACAGCGTACTGTGCAGGATCACGGAATAATTCGACCGACCCTCATTGGGCGAGAGCCGCTTCGACGCCTCGGCGCGCGCGTCTCGTTCTGGGTCGGCTAGAAACCAACGCTCCCGCGAAAACGCGCGCCCGCGCGCAGGAAATGACATCAGTTTGACGCCGACGCGCCTGAATCGCGAGCAAAATCGCGCCATGCGGTCTGCGCTTTAATGTGACTTCGTTGAAAAAAAAAAAAAAAAAACGAAACTATATCGGAACAAGGGTAAAACAAGTATAGCAATGCGGCAACACTAGTGGAGAGTCCCACTAGTGCGTGAAGCTGATGAAATAAACCCCACGTGTCAAGGCTTTTAGTGTATTGCTTTTTGCCTATGGTAAAGAAACAACACACTAAACGTATACTAATTGTATACGTTTAGCCCGAAAGCAGGCGAGTTCCCGATTCGGAAAGCAGTTGAAGAGCTGCGGCGGGGGCAACTCAAATTGCTCGAAGCAGACAAGACCGGTGTTTTCGTGGTCATGGATCAAGGAACCTACGGAAAGAAGGTCACGAATGCACTGGGAAAGAACTTTGATCAACTAAAGAAGAGGCCATCAGGATCTCTGCGTGCAGAGGCAAAAAGACTGTGCACTTTGATGAATCTGCCCGCTCTCTGGAAAACACTCAGTTCACCTGCAAAACAGTATTTTTTCCGTATTTTTCACAGCCAAGACACATAAGGAAGGCGTGCCGTTCAGAAGCATTGTATCTGAAAGAGGTTGCTGGCAGAAACCCCTTGGCCTTATTCCTACAAAAACATCCCTCCACGGTGACGCTCCTCCAGCCCTTTAGGATTTCAAACTCCACAGATCTTATCTCGCACCTTATTTCCCTACACTCCACCACCCAGCCACTCTCCATGTTTTCTTTAGACATAGAAGAGCTATACTACAGCCTAGACCCTTGTCCGTGTCTGAAGCGATCCACGAACATGGTCTCTGTAAGATTCAAAATACCTCAGGGATCACCGTTAAGGATTTCACAGATCTCCTTGCCTTATACCTTCAGTCAACTCTCGTTGAATACAACGGCAACATATTCAAACAAAAGAAGGGTGTTTGTATAGGCTCCTGCCTAGCCCCAATACTCAGTGA